CCCCGCCGGAGAGGGCCGCGCCGTCTGCCGGACGGCGACGCGCTTGGACCGGAGGAACAACATTTATTAACTCAAGGACATGCCAACGTATGGGCCGACGTGATTTACGGGAAGTCAGCCGACCGGGAATCGACCAGCCGGCCGGCCGGCAGACTGCCCGGCTCGTTTGCCTGGCAGGGGAGGGACGGCGGACACACATGCGACGCGCGTGCAGAGCAGGCAGCGGGCCAAGCCGTCCATGTGCTGGCGCTCGGTCTGCCGACACACACACACACACACACCACATATTGCCCAGGGGGCATCATGTGCATGTGCGTCCTGACGCCCCGCGCACCGTGCTACTGCTTCCAGCCAGGAGTGCGAGGCCCCATCACACGACCGGGACTGCTGCCGGCCACGGCGGCCGAGGACGCATCGGCCGGCCCAGGGCGGTAGGGCGGTGGCGCCGGCGGTGGCGGGCCGCCGGCGCCAGCGGTCCGGGAGGTTGGCGGGGGGACCGGGGGCGGGCCAGCGCGGCTGCCAGCCGGCGGGCCAGCCGGCGCAGGTCCGCGCGAGGAGGGCACCGCCGGGACCGGCGCGTCGTAGCCGCTGCTGGCCCCGGGGCCGCCGGCGGGGCCCGGCCGGGCCCCCCCGGCGGCCCCGGGGCTGGCGCCCAGGACACTTGAGGAAATCTGCAAGCCCTGGGTGGCGCGCGAGCGGGTGCGCTCGACTTCCAGCTCGCGCTTGCGCCGGGCACTGTCGTGCTTGTGGTCCCGGCGAAGGTCCGCCTCGCGACGCTTGGCCGCCTGGACCAGCAGCTTGCGGTCCTCGGCATCGCGCGCGGCCGCCTCCGCCTGCAGGGCGTCCTGCAGACGCTGCTCGCGCTGTGCCTGCAGGCGCTCCTCATGTAGCCGCGACTGCTCCCGGCGGTAGGCCTCCAGCGGGTCGATGCGCTCCTCGCCCGGCAGGAGGCCCGCCATCGGGGTGATGGACGAGCTGCTGGCCGTGCGCACCGAGGCCGAGCAGGACCCCGGCGACCGGGGGTCGATCGAGCCACCGGCCCCGGGCGCCCATGCCTGGTCAGCGCCATCGCCGGCCGGCGGCCCGATGGCCGGCGACCCCGGGCCGCCATCGCCCGGCAGATCCCCGCCGCCGGGGGACGAAACCACCGGCGACGGGGCCCCGGAGGAGGAAGCCGACGAGGCGGCCGCCGCCGCGCGCTGCAGCATGCTGAAAAGCTTCTTCTCCGACTCGCTCAGCGAGTCCTCCGCCAGAAGGTGTGCCTGGGTGAGGTTCCGGCGGATGGCCGCCTTCTCGAAGGCCCGAGTGATCTTGGTGAAGTTGGTCCCCAGGTCCAGGGTGGCGTACTCGGCGGTGGCGTACCGCCGGCCCACCTTGGCCAGGTCGATCTGTGTGCCGGTCACGGGGCCGGGTTCTGCACAAAAAGGGCGAGCAGGGCAAGCGCCAGGCGGCAGGTGAGGGGAGGGGGGGGGGGAGGGGGAGCGGCGCCAAGCGGGGCAGACGTACCGGAATCCGCCAGGTTGAGGGGATTGGCAAAGTCCCCATGGTGGATGGCGGCCACCGAGGACCGGGCTTGGTTCCGAAGGTACGGCCGTTCGGCGGCACGCGAGTCATAGAACGCCAGTGAGGACGTCTGCAACGGCCCGATACAGACGGTGAGCTTGTCACCGCCGAGAAGCTGCGGCTTGGCGAGAAGGAGCTGCGTGCCGGAGGGAGGAGGGGGGGGGGAGGGCGGGGCGCGGGGGGAGGCAGGACACCGGTGCGCGTGAGACACGAGGCGGGCCAGAGGGAGCCGACTGGGAGGGGGGCATGCGCCCTGATGCGCGCGTGCAGGATGGACATAGAAGGGGGGGGGGGCCGGCGAGGGGGAGGGAGGGCCAAGCACGAACCAGGTCATTGAAGATGAAGAGCGTCCGGCGCTCGGAGCCGATGAATGCCGAGTCGTGCCCCGGGAAGCAGGAGTAGTTCAGGTCGATTTCGATCTCCAGAAGCAGCTCGCGCTCCAAGTCGGCGAGCTTGAAATTCTGCCACGACCCCCCCCCAGAGGATGATAGCTGGATGTTAGCAGGGGCTGCTGGGCGGTTCGCCGGGCACAAGGGGGTCGGGGCCGGCGTGGCTGCGCACCTCGAGGCCACGCAGGCGCCCGGCCAGGGCTTGGAGGATCTCCACATTTTCGGCCTTGCGCTTCTGGAGGTTCACTTCGTCGACGATGGCGTTGACCGCGGCAAAGGCCTCGGTCATGCGCGCATGCCCGGGCGTGTCCTCCTCGGTGCATTTCAGCATCTCCTGCGGGCGGCATGGCAAGTGGGCGGGGTGTCAGAAGTCCGACCCGCGAGGGGGGGGGCAGGGGGAGGCCGGCCGCCGGGCAGCACGTACGCGGATCAGCAGCGGGTACTTGCAAATGCGCTGGACCGGGGTCATGAGGAAGGCCTCCAGACCCAGCTGCCGGCAAGTGGGCACCTGCTTGGAGATGTTCACCAGCAATTGGGTGCCCTTTTCGGGCAAGTCGCCCAGCACACGAATGGCATTGTTGTAGTTGCAGCAAAAGGCGCTGAAGTGCAAGAAGAAGTCGGCCTGCGGCGGCGCCCGGGAGCGCAAAGAGGGGCGGGACGGGGGGCGGAAGCGAATAGGGAGGTGAATATGCGAGCTCGGTCAGGCAGGGACAGCACGGGGGCGTGGGAATGGCGACCAGAGGCCGAAAGGGAGGGAGAGGGAAAAAGGGCCTGCGGGACGCCGGAGGGGGAAAGGCAGGGGGTGGTGCCCCCAGACAGAACGCACGCATTTGAGCAAGGCCTCAGCCATCTGCTCGGCGGTGGTCAAGGAGTGATCGTCGCCGACCGCCGGGCCTGGCGGGTCCATGCATGTGTCCATCTCGGAGATGAAATGCTGGACATTTGCGCCGGGGGGGGGGGGGGGGGGGGGGTGGGGGGGGGAGGGGGGGGGGGGCGGGGGGGGGGGGGGGGGGGGCAGGGCACGCACATCGGACACGCGCCAAATGTCGTCGATGTTGCTGAAGATGCTGGCCACGATGTCGGCCGACGCATAGCCGGAGGCCGCCAGCCCGGCGCGGTACACATGGATCATGACCTCCAGGTCGGAGCGGAAGTCGCGCTCCGTCTGGCGGAGTTCCCGCGCGGCCAGCTGGAAGCGCATCTCCCGCTTGTCCCCCAGGGCCGAGTACACCTCGGGGATGGCATCGCGCGAGGCCGGCGTCGCCGGGATCGGCATGATGCGAATGGCCGACTGCGGGGACATCGGGGGATCCGCGGCGCCCGGGGACCCGGGGCCGGGATCGGTGGCCGGCACGGGGCCGCTGATGATTAGGGTGTGTGGCCGGCCGGGGGCAGGCGAGGCGGGCCCCCCCGCGGCGCCGGTGCCCGCCGCCGGTGTGAGGCTGTGCCGGGTGGCCGACCCGGCGGCGGCCCGGCGAGAGGGCAGGACCGCCCGCGGTGCCGCCACCCCGGCATCCTGGCTGAACACCGCCCCGGGGACCGATGACTGGGCGATGGCCAGCAAGACCGACGCCGGGATGGTGGAGGTGCTGGCCGATCGGCCGACGCTGGCCGAGGCGTCGGCCTCCGCGTCGGGGGATGCCGACCCGGCCGGGCGGCTGGGCTCGCTGCCCGGCGGGGCCTCCTCCCCCGGCCCGAGGGCCGCATCCGGCGGGGCGGTCGAGGGCCGGGGCGGCGGCGGCCCGGCCGCCGGCCCCACCCCCGGCGAGGCTGGCCGCGAGTCGCACGCCGACTCGGGCGTACAGGGAGCAAGTCCGCCGGCGGGCGAGGCCACCGGCGACGTGTACGCCGATGCCACCGACGCGGCGATCGATTCGGCATCGCTGTCCGCCACGGAGGCCCCGGCCGGAGTGTGCCCATCCTCCCGAGGAGGGTCGTCCTCCTCCGGGTGGTGCTGATGAGCCTGGTGGTGGTGGTGGTGGTCGTCGTCGCCATCGTCGCCATGGTCGTCCGCCGGCGGATGGCCATCCCCCGGCGGGTGGGCGTCCACTTCGGCCGAGTGTTGCGCCGCGTTGGCCGCATACTCCGGCGGGTAGACCACGGTGATTTGCGGCCGCTCCGGCGGATACGAGGCGGTCCCATTCCGCCGGAGGGTGAATCGGAAGGAATTCGGCGTCTTGGCCGGCTTGGGCTTGGCTGGGGGATGGGCAATGACGGCGGGGTGAGCAAAGGAAAAAGCCACCCACCGGGGGCAAGGGCGCAAATGAAGACACGACTGGGGCAGAGGGGGAAGAAGAAGAAAAAAAAGGAAAGAAGAAAGCCGGTCCGCAAGCGCATGGGGCAAGCAAGCCGGCTCGAGAGGCACGTAGACACACCCTTGTCAAGATCATCGCCGGAGGCGTCGGACACGGAGGAGCTTCGCCGGCGTGGCTTGAACAGGGCCACCATGGCCGTGGCGGCGGCGGCCACGCCCCCCGGCGAGCCGGCCGACCCGGCCGACGAGGCGGCGCGTTTGGGCGTGGCGTCCGACGGGGCGCCGGCGCGCTTCGGTGTGGCGTCGGCCGCGGCTCCGGCACGCTTGGAAGCCTCGCGGCTCAGGGAATCGGCCGAAGCCCCGATGCTGCCGTTGGAGGTGATGTCGCTGCTGCTGCTGCTGTTGCTGCTGGCATGCGCGCTGCCGCCGCTGATGGCCGGGGTCGATACGAGCCGCGGCTGGGGCGGCGAGGCCGGCGGGCTGTCCTCGGCCTGGGGCTCGGCCACAGCGGTCACCGCGCCGGCTTCCGACGCCGGGGCACCCGAGGGGATGTACGCCGGGGGGGCCTCCACCGGGGGCGGCCGGGAGGGGCGCGGCGGTGGCGGCCCGGAGCCGGCGGGTGCGGCAGCCGCCGGCAGCAACTCCGCCTCAGTCGATGTGGCGGGCATGC